TGGGTACCCTGGGGATAACTCATCGGGCCATTAAAGACCGAGGCAAAGAAGGCATTGAGTAACTCAGCCTTTTCCTCGTCTTTAGTGACAATGTTCCCCCTTGTATCCTCTAGAGAATGGAGGTTCTCCCTGGCTCTCTTTTTGCTGTTAACATATTTATAAAAACTCTTCTTATTATCCCTTACAGCAGTGGCCAGGTTAAATTCCAGCTGTGCTCCCTCGTGTTGATTTAATGCTGATGTTGCAGCTCGCTGTCAGCTAAGCCGGCTGCCCTGGGTACTTTTTTCCCCTGCTGCCATCTCTGTGCCCTCCTATAATTTCTTTCCTTACGTTACTTGAGATGGGGACTGTCCCTATAAGGACCCTTGCCCTTGCAGCCAGCAGTGATGGCATGTCCCCAACAGGTCGCTCTGGAGTGCTTGCTCCACCGGGAGAAGAGGATGGGCATCGACCTGGTCCATGACGATGTGGAGAAGCAGCTCTTTGCAGTAAGTTTGGCCACTCAGATCATGTCTTAAAGCTATTTTTACTGAACTGGGTTTTGCAGTCTTGTTCCCTAACTGGGAACTGAGGTGCTAAATTCTTCAAACCCCCAAAACCTGCTGGGCCAGGGACTGGCGTTCCCCCATGCAGCAGCGTGCCTGAGCTGTGTGGGTAAGGTGGAGAGGGGAAGGGATAGCTGCAAATCAGCCACGTGTTTGTGTAGCATATTGGGGTCCTCATCCTTCTTCAAGCACTTTGTGGGACTGTCCTGCCTTCCAGAGCCCTGCCAGAGCAGGATCTATAGGATCTGTATCACATACATATGATATAGCTATAGATCGATATCACATACATCTATCTCTATATATATCCCACATGCAGATATGGAGAAGTCAGCATGTGCCTGACAGCTTGTCTAGTTTTCCCAACTATATTAGTTGGTCTAATAAAAGATGGGACATCTACCCCCAGCTTTGCTTTGCTCAGAGCAGCGTGGCCGCAGGAGGACTGCCGCTGTCTGTGCTTAGGCAGTGTGTTTTATAGAAATCATAAAAAGATGCACTCCTGCCTGCCTGCCTTTCTATAGTCTGCTTTAAATGATGAATAAAAAAGCAAACACGACGCACGTTGGCACAGAAGGTGGGATCCTAACGCAGGATACAGTGGCGTACAATCACAGCAAAGGCATCGTGAAACTGGGAAGGAAATGGCAGCCCCGGGGACTGTGAAGCCCCTGCCCCCTTAGAAGATTTTTTCGTATGAGTCAGGCCCTAAAAAATTAGATTATTTTAAAGGTCATGAGATTTTAGGAAAATAATCAGAGCTGGTATCTCCATAATGGCATTTTGGGTTTCAAGTGTTTAGGACACATCTAGGCTGCACTTCTCAGTTGGCTCCTGCAGACAGGAGGGCTTAAAAATGACTGGATTTGGAACACTGATCACCTGCCTCTGGTAGCTGGGGCTTCACAGATGCAATAGATTTGTGCTGAAGTGAGCTGAGAGCAACACAGGCCTTCCTCCAGTGGAGCTGAATGCTTCTTAGGAATGACTGAGGATTTACACCAAAGTAAAGTTCATCTCCTCTTGTCCCATATGGATGGGATTTCTTCTGGGGAGGAGACCATTTTGGGAGCCAAAAGGACAGATGATGATTTGGGGTTAGGGGTGTGTAGCACTGCTGGTCCAGGGATCCACTGTGCCTGTGCAGACCAGGTCAGGATCTGTCCCTGTCTATGCAGTGGAACTAACCAGCACTTGAAGCTGATGTCAACATGAAAAAAATACTTATATACTTACCAACCCCCCCTGAAAGCGAATGCAAAGGCCATAGCCGGGTCACGGCACCCTCCCATCCCCTCCCGGTCGCTGCGCACAGGCTCAGCTGCACAAGGGGTGTGCTGGGGGCTGGGGGGAGGGGGCACTTTCTCCGCTCCCTGCCCGTTTGCTTTGGGCAGAAACACAAGCAGGCAAGTTCTTGCTGTGTGCAGGGTTGGAGAGGTCCAAGGGGATGAGTGTGCCCAGGGTGATCGAGAGTGGGCACTGATGGGGTCACGCTTTGCCTTTGCCCAGGAAGTCGACGTCATCAGGTCATGTCAGGAGAGGATGCAGCGGTATCTGGATAAGGCGAAAGCCCAGCTCACGTAAGGAGGAGCTCCTTATCTCTTGCCGTAGGGCTCATCTGCCTTTGCAGATGTGATGTGAACCCCCAGCAGACCCCCACCTCTACCTGCACCCTGCAGGTGTGAAACCCAGGCAGGCTCCATGGGAAGTGGGCAGTGATGCTCGTGGGAGGATGGACCTGCCTGGGCAGGAGCCACAGGGAAGCAGGACGGGGAGGAAGCGGTTCCGCCCACACATCCCCACCGATGGCTGTTGCTTGTGTGTTGAAGGACCAACAGGGCGGCCCAGCATGAACTGGAGAGGGACCTCGCCAACAAGCAGGCGGCCCACCGCATCGACGACAAATGCCACCACCTGAGAAACACCTCTGACGGCATCAGCTACTACCGAGGGGTGGAACGGGTCGATGCCACGTGAGTGCAACGCTGGGCAGCATGCAAGCACTGAGCCATCCCCGGGATGCACGGTGCCTCTCCCTGGCAGGGTGCTGGCTGTCCCCAGCCCACTCTGAAGGCATGTGTGTCTGCACGGTGCGTCCATCCCGCCTGGAGACACCCACCTCGGAGGGGTCATTTCTCTTGGGTCGGCCTCTTCTCCCTGGTAATGGACAATAGGACGAGGGGGAATGGTTTGAAGTTGTGCCAGGGCAGGTTTAGGCTAGACATTAGGAAAAACTTCTTCACAGAAAGGGTTGTCAGACTCTGGAATGGGCTGCCCAGGGAGGTGGTTGAGTCCCCATCTCTGGAGGTATTTGAAAGAAGGATAGATGAGGTGCTTAGGGACAGGATTTAGTGGTGGGATGTCAGGATTAGGTTAAAGGTTGGACTTGATGATCTTAAAGGCCTTTTCCAACCAAAGCGATTCTATGATTCTGTGATTCTCCACTCACCAGACACAACCCTCTGCTTTCAGCTGGATGCTGAGCATCCAGAAGGTGAAAGCGAGTCCCACCTAATTAAATGTTATATCAGAGTTGAGAGATCAGCCTGAGAATGAGTTCAGCTCAGCACCTCTGCACAGCTCATTACATTTATGCGTATTTTCAAAGATGTGTCAGTGATTGCCTGAGTGCTTTTCGTTGACGTAAAGTCTGGGGGGTTCACCCCAGGGTGGAGAGGGCCTGGCAGGGAGCCAAAATGACGCAAAGATAAAGAAATAGAGAGCATGATCCCAGGATAGTGTTCAACTGCTTTTGGGTGCCAGGAATTCGGCCCTGGCTCTGCAGTAAATGAATGGTGACCTAAGCCAGCACTTGCAGAGCTATGCCCTAAGTGGCAAAGGGCTGAGGGGATAAATCTGCTGTTGCACAGACGCATGCGGTTTATGGAGGGGCACAGATTGATTTAATTTTTCTAATATTTGAATAATTATTCACGGTAGAGCTCAGACATATTTAGACAGGCAAACAAATTGCAAAGGATTGATGCTAAAATTCAGAGGGGGGTAAAATGTGCCAAGGATCAGCATGTTTTAAATGGAGCTTATGTGGTATTTAAGTCTTTTGTTGACCTTGTTCTGGACTACTGCAGAGGTGTGAACTTCATCCTGAATGCACACACGGGGAAACGACTATTATCTAATCCTTATTCAGTTTAGTGTGAAACGGAGATAAGTTATGAGCACAATGAATTGACTGCAATCTGTGCGTTGTTGTGAAGCTGTGAATCACTTGGCACTTAAATGCCTCCAACATGTAAATACGGGGTCTGGTTAAAATCTCTGCTTTTTCTGGGGAAATCTTTTGTTTCTGTGTGCTTCCATAAGTATCAACAGTTGCCTTCATGAACATGTCATCATTTGATAAGAGTTATTGAACAAATGATGTCCAGATGTTTCACTTTCATGTGGTCACATTCAGAGCATAGCTTCCCTTAAGGCTGTGCTTGATCCATGCTGCTCCCTGGCAGGGTCCACGCGTGCCCAGGTCCAGCTTCAGCAGTAGGGGCTTACTGGGGGCCTCACCTTTCCCTCCCCCAGGATCTCGGTGCCAGAGTCGTGGGCCAAGTTCACGGATGACAACATCCTCCGCTCCCAGAGCGAACGGGCAGCCTCCGCCAAGCTGCGGGACAGCATCGAAAACCTGCTGGTGGTGACGGCCAACGAGATGTGGCACCAGTTCAACCAGGTGAACGTCGCCTTCACCAACCGCATTGCTGAGACAACCGACGCCAAGAGCAAGATCCAGACCCACCTGGCCAAGGTAGCCTGAACCCCTCCCTTTCAGGGTGACACCGTCACTTCCCAGTGATGCCTCTGAAGCAGGACCCTCCACACAGACCTGGCCCAAGCAGAGGAAGAGCTGCCGCAAGGAGTGGGTTATAGCATCATTTTCTGTTTGAAACTCAAAATCCTGGGGACCTTCCTCTTGGGGCAGGATGAGTTGGCCCTGTAATTTCATCTCAAGGGATGCTGCATTTTGCTAGTGCATCCTCACTGGCAGCCTCATAGCGCAGGGATTTCCAGCAGAAAAGGCCAATGCTGGCTGTATCTCCTCGTAGTGACTTCAGAAGCACTGGCTGCCCTGCAGAAAGGCTTTGCTGGGCCTGTGCTGGGGTACCTGCTGGAGGGTCACAGGCTTGCTTCTCCTCCAAGGACGTGCTTTCAGTCTCAGTGTTCCATGTTTCTTGCATGGGTATCCATGTGTTTGCTCTGCCAAGCCCAGTAAGTGGAGATCAGTGATGGGCACCTGGCTTGGACCAGTGGATCTTATGGAAAGCTTCCTGAAAAGTGCTCGACACAGTATTGATTAACAAAGCAGAGCCTGGCATTGCAGCACTGCGGGCTGATGCCACGTCCTTAAATGAGGATCCATTAAAAACCTTCCCTCTATTAGTTGCTCTTGATGGATGATCAGTTCCTGCAAGCAGTAATTTTGGGAAGCTGGTAATTCAATAGATCCATCACTGCTCCAAAACCTCCTCTGATGTGACAGCAACAGCAAAGAGAGGCTTTTCCCTGAAAAGAAATCACTGCTGAATCTGTGCCTTGATGTGTGGCAGAGTGACAGTGGTCTGAGCCCAGGGTCTGCTTATTGAACTTCTTCTTTTCTGCAGACGGACAGGAGAAGAGGGAAATGATGTGGTCCCTTGAGAATATAAGTTTTAATTTATGCATGTGTTTCTTTTTCATGCCAGACGCTGCAGGAAATCTTCCAGATTGAGATGAACATAGAAGCCCTCCGAAAAGCCATTAGGGACAAAGGGCCTCCCTTAAAAGTGGCTCAGACCCGGCTGGACGAGCGCACACGGAGACCAAACATGGAGCTGTGCCGGGACACTGCCCAGCTCCGGTAAGGCAGGAGCACAGGGCCGGCAGGTCCTTGAGAGGTCATCGCTGGTGGTAGCACTCAGGAGCATCACTGAATGACAAAATTAATCATGTGGAGTTTTTTTTCTAAATAGTCCTCCCATAAATGCACTGATATAAACCAAAGCAATGAGCAGTTATCCCGGCCTTTGGGTGCTGGGAGAGCTCTGCACCCATGAAGGAGGCTGCACACCATGGCTGGGTATAGCCCGATGCCACCCTTGAGGGGCTGGATTTTTCCCTCTTCTGTAAATCTCATCTTCTCTCCTGCCTTGCTTCCTGGCGGTTGGATGTGCTCAGTTTTGAAGGACGAGCCCTTTACTCTCTTTTGGATAGCTGCAAGAAAGGGTGCACCATATGGAGAAGCAGTAAGGGCTGCCCTCCCCTCCCCTGAGGACACTGGGAATCCTTTCAAGGACACAGTGAACAATTTGGGATTGCACCCGAACCTCACATCTCCTCCTGGGAGCCCTCTGGGCATGACTTAGGGATGTGGTTTAGTGGTGGGATGGCAGAGTTAAGGTTATGGTTGGATTTGATGATCTTAAAGGTCTTTTCCAACCTAAACGATTCTGTGATTCTATTCTATGACTCCATGTGAAGCCTTTTAAAAGCAATTTCAACCCAGAGCCTGTTTAGCATCTCGCACGCCATTGTTTTTTCCACCCTCCACTGGTTTTACATTCACTTTCAGCCTCTCCCAGCTGTCCTGATTTGCTGTGCGTGCATCTCTGGGTATGGGGAGGACCCCTGCATGGGGAAATCCAGGCGGGTGAACCAACAAACCCACAAAACCAAACGGGAACAGGAAACCACAGCTGCTCATCCCTTGTCTCAGTGGCATAAGCTACTCTGGGAGACGTGACTGCGTGTTGCCGAAGCCTTAGAGCAGCCTTAACCATGCCTCCACGCTGAGGTCCAGAGATCTGCCCTCAGCTTTCCCATCCATCTGCCAGGAATGGGGAGCCCGAGTTAGGCTGAGCATGCTGAAGAAGGAAACCCTGTGCCCAAGGAGCCCGTCAGCAAAGCCATGCTAGAAACCACCCTCATGACGGGACTGCTCATGGGGGTTTCTTGCTGTTTTCCAGCCTTGTCAATGAGGTCTACGAAATCGATGAGACAATCCAGAGCCTTCAGCAGCGACTGAGGGATGCTGAGGAAACGCTGCAAGTGCTGGTTCGTGCCAAGTCGGTCTTGGAGCATGACCTGTCTGTCAAAGCCAACTCGCTCTTCATCGACCAGGAGAAGTGCATGGGGATGCGCAAGACCTTCCCCAGCACTGCGCGGCTGGTGGGTTATGTTTAGGCTGGGCTCAGTCCAACTTATGGTGCCTCTCGCGGGAGGTATTCCCAGATTTGCTAAGATGCTTTGAAAAGACATGATTTGACTTTCACTTCCCAACGAAAGCCCTGAGTAGAAATTAAATGAAATTAAATGATCTGAGTAGAAATTAAACAAAATTAAATGGTCACTTTGCGTGCTACACAGTCTACCAGGATATATTTTTTTTCTTTTGTTTTTCTCGTTCCACTGCTCTTTCACGGCGTGCCAGGGAGTGGCTGAAAATACCTTGCATGCGACTCAGAGTAAAACCACCCACGGGGATTCCTTCCTACCCTTTTAATCTGTGATTTTTGGAGAAAAAATGGTTGTGTTTTCCTCCTTTTGAGCCTGTCTGATGTGGAAAAGCACAAGGGGAAGTGAAGCTAGTTGTCGGAGTAATTAGCTGTTGACATCCAGAATGTATTTTTAATGGTGCAGCAGGAGAAACACAAACTATGCTGTAAAGCGTTGCAGTATGTTCTGTTCCTAAATAGAAAAACTTGCATTTTCAGCTGATTTCTAATGATAATTTTCTTGCTTTTGAAAAATTTTAAATGTCATCGAAAAGTCAGTGCTGGGGTCTTGAAATGAGAAGGTGCTTTTGGCTAGCTAATTGAAGAAAATGCTGTGGTTTTAATTTTGGTGAGTATGGATCGGTCGCTAATTTAACCATTCACATATAGTTTGTTGGTGGAAGCACCAAAGCGCTTTGGAGATAAAGAAATTAATCTGTCCTTACGCCAGCCACCCCCACTGCCACGGTGCCTGCTCTCCTGCTGTAAATCAGACCTGCTGTACCCAGTGTTTGAACTTTCAGAGGGATAAATCTTTAATCGATTTGAGGTGACAGTCACTTTGCAAATTGTCTCCTTAGACTCACATGCCACTTAGACATCTTGAATCCTTTAACCTAGGCAGAGTTGAGCTCAGTCTAAAGCCTGTAGGCACCCAGATCCCAAAGGAGCAGAAGCTCGAGTCCCTTCTCCTCCCATGGGAATCCAGGGCATGGACCTCCTGCCCCAGCGTGGGGGCTCTTGGGAGCTGGGAGCGGCTTCTTGTCTCGCATCCCCAGATGACCCCGTCCCACAGCACGGCTCCAGACAGACCTGCCTGCCCTCCCGCTCTCCCAGGGGCAGCCCCCAAGAGCCGTAACTTGTGCTGAGGTCCTGCCCCAGCCTCAGCATCTTGTTAGGGTCTCTCTTCACAGCAGCAGCCCTAAACAGAAGCCATTGCCCTTTTAACCTTTTTTTTACTGCACTTTTGTCTCACAGAGACTAAAAATAGGTTTCCTCTACTTTGTGTGCAGCCAGAGTCCATCAGAGACAGCAGCCACCCTGGCGGAAGAAAGGATCGAGAGCAGCCCTGCTGAGAGGGACTTGGGGGTGCTGGTGGATGAAAAGCTGGACATGAGCCGGCAATGTGCGCTGGCAGCCCAGAAGGCCAACCGTACTCTGGGCTGCATCAGAAGAAGCGTGGCCAGCAGGTCGAGGGAGGTGATTCTGCCCCTCTACTCTGCTCTGGTGAGACCTCACCTGGAGTACTGCGTCCAGCTCTGGAGCCCTCAGCACAAGAAGGACACGGAAGTGTTGGAGTGGGTCCAGAGGAGGGCCACAAAAATGATCCGGGGGCTGGAGCACCTCTCCTATGAGGACAGGCTGAGGGGGTTGGGCTTGTTCAGCCTGGAGAAGAGAAGGCTGCGGGGAGACCTGGTTGCGGCCTTTCAGTACCTAAAGGGGGCCTATAGGAAAGATGGGGAAAATCTTTTTAGTAGGGCCAGCAGTGACAAGACAAGGGGTAATGGTTTTAAACTAAACCAGGGTAGGTTTAGACTAGATATAAGGAAGAAGTTCTTTACAATGAGGGTGGTGAAACACTGGAACAGGTTGCCCAGAGAGGTAGTGGAGGCCCCATCCCTGGAAACATTCAAGGCCAGGTTGGATGGGGCTCTGAGCAGCCTGATCTAGTTAGCGGTGTCCCTGCTCATGGCAGGGGGGGTGGACTAGATGACCTCTAGGGGTCCCTTCCAACCCAAAACATTCTATGATTCTATGATTCCTAAGGAGAAGATACAACTGTAAGCAGGAAAAACTGTCCAGCTCAACGCACCTTCCCTTTTTCCACCTATCTACCTCCCCAAAATAAGGTGAAGGCCTGCCGAACTTGTAGGCCCTTCCAGTTTTTGTTAGCATCCTCACTAGCCTTTGTGCTGCCTTGCGCTGTTGCTCTCCCCGTGGATGGAAGCTTGCACAAACTCTGGTGATTGGGGCTGCTCTGCTGTTTTGAAGCCCAGTTCCAGATGCAGTTTTCAGGCAGAGCTGCCTGGTTTCTTTTTTGAGAAATGGGCCCCATGGATTTGTCCCCAGATGAGCACTGGGACATGGAGGCACCCTCTGGCCCTTTCTGAATGGCTCCTGCTTTATAAGTAACTTGAGCAAAGTCCTGGCATTGGTGACAGCTTCACATTCATTTCACTTCCACCTTCATTTCTCAGTCACGTAAAAAAATATCCAAGCTCCATTTTACTAGGAGGGCACTGTGATAATGGTTCAGCACCCAAAGTCTCCGATTTTCTCCAATTTTGCTTTCAGATCACCCCAAACACTCATCTTTCCTACCAGCCCAACTCCTTTAAAGCTTCCTCCTGACTGACAATGTTTATGTGGTGTCGCAATTATCTGACTCCACATTTTATCTTGCTGTCCTCCTCTCTCCATGCTTCTCTACACAATATTGGCAATGCATTTCTTTCTTCCATTTGAGCCACAACCAGGGGAATTTCAGTTGCAGCTTCTCTGATTTCTTTCACAAATATTTTCCGCTTTCCTGCAGCAGATTTCCCAGACTTGAGAGAATTCCCAGGCCCCTTTGGGGCTTCATTCTCTCCACGCCAGCTTTCCACAAGTTGACAATATTGATGTTGCTTCTTCTGGTAGCTGATACTCTAAAATCCCCCCCCAAAGCACTTTGATTGCCTAATCCTCTGTGTGCTTCAGTTTGCATCTTTCCCCCCCCCCCTCCCACAGGGTGTCCTATGCACATCCCATGATGGGAGCCAGCCCTGCCACAAAACTCCTCTAAAATGGGTCCCTTGGGAGAGGGGTTTGGGTGAAATTCCTGTAGACACGTGGCTCATGGCAGGGTCTCCTGTGCAGGGATGGTTTTGCCTCCCGTGACTGAGCTGCTGGTGAGCAAAGCTGCTTGGTTCAATCACTGCAGGGGCAGTTTTGGGGTTGCAGCTGAACAGTCTCGATCTTTGATGGGTACCAGGTTAAACAACTGCCCTGTCTTCCTGCTTCCGATGAGCAAGGTACCTTTGCTTTCGTACCATTAAATGGTTTGCTTTCATAGATCACATCTAAATAGCATCCCGGTTTGCCTCAGCTGCTGTTCTGCACTGATGGGATGTTTCCTTTCTTCAAATGCCTTCAGTCAGAAGGACGATGGGCCTGCTTTTATTGCTGCTTATTGCTGGTTTATTGCTGGCTTTATCAGCCAAGCTGCTGAGAAAGTTAGCTTGTGGAAATTCCTTTGCATCCCACAGCCATATTCCCACCCTCCTGCATCATTCCAATAAACCCTGCAGAGCTGGGTTTGTAAACAAATTGTTTACTGACTGGAGGAAATAAAATAAATTAATAAAACCAGGACAGCGTTGCTTCCTGCAAGCCAAGCTTCGTGTCAGCCCAGGATCCAGTCGAACAGTCAAGGCCAGTCTACCAAGCAGCTTCTCAGAAAGGAGGCTTTGGGTGTTTCTGTTGTCTAAGAAAAGAAAACTCATTGAAAGTCCTGGAGGAGCCTGATATGAATTTGGGCAAAATAAAAGCTTGCCAAAAACCCATGCTAATGCTATATTGCATAACTAATGCAGATTATTATGCTTGAGGGACTGAGAATTCCCAAAACGGCATCAGCAGTCAGAAAAAAAAACCCCAAACTCATTGCTATTATGAAAAAAAAAAAAAAAGAAATCTTTGGCAAAATGCTAAGGATAATTTGGGCAGTGTAGGATTGTAGGAACGGCTGTGCTGGCTCAGACCGAAGTCCAGCGAGCCCCAGATTCAGCCCCTGACAGAGCCAGCAGGAGATGCTTAGATAAAAGCAGCAGAACAAGGCAAGCACCCTGTGATACTTTCCCGGTCTACTTTCCCAGCTTCCAGCAATTAGTATCTCAAGGACTTCCTGAGCTGATGAGGCTGTCCTTGAATTTAATATCCCCCTATGGATTTGTTTCACATGATCTTGTTCCAGTTGTTCTTCGAGCCCGTGCTGCAGACTTGCAGCATCCGCTGTGTCCCTTGGCAGGGAGCAGCAGGGGACAGAGCATCACCAAGCTCAGAGCACCGTCTTCCACTCTTGGGACCCCAGGAGAGACTGAAAAAGGGGCCAGACCTGGCACAGCTGAAGCCTAAAGTCTAAAACTCCATGGTTTGGGCAAAAAGATAGCTCAAGGCTCTTTTAGACCTGTATCCTCTGTAGGTTCAACACAGGAGCTCACAGAGGCTTGGCTCCTTTTAAGTGCTGACCACATGCGGGAGACAAGGACAAATCACAATTTCTGAAAGTATCTGAGTATGTCCTGACACAGAGTCACGTCCCTGCTGGGAACCTCGGTTGGGTTTTTTGGCTTTTGGAATCAGTGGGTGAATTTTGGTTTTGTTGAAGCCAGTGGGATTCTCTCCAGTGATTTCAGCCTGACTCTATCGGTGATGACAACTGGCTTGTAGTTGAAAGTAAAAAGTTGGATGAAGTTGGGTTTTGGGGCATGAATGCGGACAGGACTAAGATATTATATTGGGGGGTTGGACTAGATGACCTCTAAAGGTCCCTTCCAACCCAAAACATTCTATGATTCTATGCTATTTTATAAATTCTTCTTGGTTTGGTGGAAAACAAATGTCAGGAAAAGTAAGTAAATATCTCCAAGACATATTAGACCTCTTGTTTTAGAGGTTTGCTGAATTTAAATGTCTCCCCTTCCATTTTTTTTTTCCCTGCTTGAAATGGCTTTTCAGACAGTCATCCCACCAGTTTAATCAGAAAAGAGACAAAGCACTCTCCTGCTCTTGGTG